GCCCTTCGGCGGCACTCGATGACGTAGCATCCTTGAAATATTGGCTTGGAAGCCAGTTTCCTCAAGATTGAGAAACGGCCAGTGTGTGTGTTTCCTTATGAGCCTACAGATTAGATGAGTAAGAGACATTTGGTTGTACATGTGATCTCTGTGTGACGTCGTCCTTGTGTGTCGTTCAGTACAACCAGTACCTGGAGACGCAGAGTGTGGACGAGGCGCGGGCCGTTCTGAGGCGAGCCTGTGAGGTCCACCTGGCGAACAAACCCAACATCCACCTGCAGTGGGCCACCTTCGAGGAGAGGCACGGTACGACAAAACTCACATTTCCTCGTAAAACATTTGCAAAGCTCATTCTGGTGAAAACTTAATTGTTTACTGATTCATATAGTTTACAGCCACTTTATAATGTCTTTGAAATCCTTTTTTCACTTCACCTACAGATGAACAGATTTTCTCATACATGGTGAAATTGGGTTTTTTATGTTGGACAGTCACGACCGCACTTTATGGAGCTTTAAAGCCTTTGTTGTTCAATAAGATAAGTTGATAACCATTTTGTTTACTCTACATCCCTCTTTTCAGTATGTTCATAGTTATTGAAAATGTTGTCAGATGTGTGTGGTGTTTTTTTTTTTTAAGGATATTTGGAAGAGTTTAAATACATGATGCTTATTGTCAGTAATAGATTAAATATTCTCATATATCCTCCAAAACAAATTCTCTCTATCAGGCGACCTCACGGAGGCACGCCGGGTTCTGGAGTCTCTGGAGAAATCGCTCCCGGGGTTGGCGGTGGTCCGTCTTCGCAGGGCGGCTCTGGAGAGGCGAGCGGGTCAGCTGGACCAATCAGAGGCCTTGCTGCGGGAGGCGGTGGAGGAGTCCAAAGAGAAGCCCACGTTACACGCTTTTTATTCCATCAAGCTGGCTCGCCTGCTGCTGAAGCTCGGCAGGAACCCAGGCAGAGCCCGAGGCGTTCTGCAGGAGGCGCTGGAGATCAGTCCGGTGAGACAGTTAGCTACACCCACACGATTCAGATCATCACAGGCTGTCCACACTTCTCTTCTTCCTCCGTTGATTCCACACAGATTATAGAACTGTTTCAGAGATCCTGATTTACTTCCATAAAACAATTTGCGTATTGGTGGTTGGAATGTATTGATTTGACGTTTTGGAATATACACACATTTCTACTGCAGTAGGCCTATTTTATTAATGGTACCAACCTACTGATTTATTATATTCTAGCAGTCAGACTGAGTCATCACATTCATGAACATTGTCTCTGAAGATGTAGAACATGCCTTTCCCTATCATTGAAGTAGTGGTAGTATTTGATAGGTTATTAACTGTTTCTACTGTTTTCAAGCAAAATGTGTGAAATCATGCTGAATATGATCTCATTTCTGCTTTAAAAATGAGTGTTGCTGGATGTCTTTGTCCTTTACCATTGTAGAATCAATATTCAGGTTTTCTTATAGACTTCCTGTCGAATACAATTATTATATCCAGGTCTCAGCAAATGTTTTGTAGATTTATGAAAATGAATACATTAGTAGCATCCCTATCCATTTCACTTCTTATATTCCATGTCTACTTTGAATGGTAATGGTTGAAAATGTAAAACTTAATGATCAGAAGCACACTTGTACCTTCAGGAGTAAAAAAAAGCAAGAAGGTAAAACCCAAGACACAAAGTAACTCCGGTGTTTAATGCTCTCTGTCTCCCTCAGGATAACGACAAGCTGCACCTGAACCTGCTGGAGCTGGAGGTGTCGGGCGACCCCTCGGCCGAGGCGGTGCAGGAGTGTGTGACGCGAGCCCTGGCCGCTCCCCTCGCCCCACACACCAAGATCCTCTTCTCACAGAGAGGCCTGCAGTTTGCAGAGGACTACAGCAACTCTATAGAGAGGTCAGAGGTCAACATAGGTCTCCTGTACGTATAAAGCTTCCTCTCTGACCTGAGTGTTGTTCCTGATGGTCTCTGCTTCCTCTGCAGCGTGCTGTCCGTCTACGAGGAGCACCAGAAACTGCTGAAGGAGCTGGGCGGAACCAAGAGGGAAGCAGAGAATGGGTAAATCTAGTTTGATTTGTTTTATGTCATTTAGATGTTAGCAACTTTCTGTTATGCAACTTTCTGCAGCTCCTAGATGTATAGAAAAAGAAGTGAGCTTTCTACATTCAATATGCTTTTATTTTGAAGGGAAACTAATTATGTTTCTTTGAGTTTCAACAAAGCTTTTTGTCTAGGGACTAAGGGTCTAAGGCAGTGCTTCTCAAAGTGTGGTCCGCGGACCACTGGTGGTCCGTGAGCGCCCCTTAGTGGTCCGTGAGTATATTGGTAAAATTTCACATTTGAAATAAATAAATAAATGTAAGTTTTCCGCACTCTCGCGGGAATATATCTGCAATGGAGCGAGGTTAAGTTTCACTTTCAATTGCATGATATAGCCCAGCGCAACACCTTCATCACACAATTTTCAGGCGATTTCTAATCTGTTCTAGAAAAACGATGTGTTTTTTGATATTTGTTTTTTTATTGGTTAAGTGGTCCTTGGTATGAAAAAGTTTGAGAAACACTGGTCTAAGGATAGAGGGTGTGGTTTTTCTCATACTGATATTCTGAACAATCGTATTTGCTGTAAAGTGTCTCTACTGTAGGCTATTTTTATTATATCTCCAGCACTTTGGCTCGACCAAAAATCGTTTATAAATGTGCTATATAAATAAAACTTGATTTGATTTGAGGACAATTTATTTCTTATAGTTTTTCAAATATAAATCCACAAATAGTCTAAAATCAGTTTTCATTTTATTGATATTGTGCCTTTCTGATGTTTTTTATCTCAACCAATGCATTTAAATCATTTGTAAAATGTGACTTTTAGAGATGAGGAAACAGAGAAGCTGATGAAAAGTGAAGACGGCTCGGCTGTTGCTGTGTCTGCACAAGATCCGCCCACCATGCCGCATGTCCCCATCACCACCCCTCCGCCCCCCGTGATGGGCGCTGACGCCAGCGCTCAGGCCGGATACGGGGGATACAGCAGCTGGTACCAGGTAGGGTGGAGAGTGTATTCACATCACTGTTCAGGCTGGAGTATTAACATGAACACAGAAGCATTTAGGAATAAAGATTGTACAGATGAATGCAAGCACATTACACAAAGATTATTCACATCAACTATTGAAGCGACACTCTGGAAGACATTAGGCAGTAGAAATTGGGGTCTATAAAACGTTTGGCCGTTTGAAGGTTTGCCCCAAAGAGCTTGTTGTTATTGGTAACGTTTTGCTTTGCATTTAATACAATATACATACACTATTAACATAAATCATGTTCTTGTCAAAACCTCAAAGTAATCTTGTTGAATTTCAAGTTTCTGTGCTTCAGTGTCACATGAGTTTTGTATGCTTCTCTCTTTTTTATATACATCTTTAGCCGGGCAATATCGGTTCAGTTTAGTTTGCCATGTCATGTTCACTGCTTTTTTACTTTACAACAACAACCCTTGTTCTTTGTACCTTATTTCCTGTTTGTTCTGATTTGTTTTTAGCAACCGCAGTACGGCAGCTACGGATACCAGAACTGGAACTACAACCAAGGCTATTATCCTCCCAGCTAAAGGGGACAACTGTGACTGTGACACCAAAAAAAAACACAGGAAACGTTTTGACCCAGGATGAGTCCTCAGCTGAACAACAAACTGAACCACGCAGTCCTGCCGGTCCACATGATAAAAAACAAATCATCCTTTCCTCTCCGTCCCATCCGTGAGTCGCCTCACTGTCCTGGAATGAATTGAATGAGAGGCGGGAGATGAGCTCTTTTAGCATGTTGTGTCATTTCAGTGTTGATTCTGAGGGAGGGGTGCAGATATGAGGAAAGGAAACGGTGACACTCCCACTCTCAGTGTCTCTCAATTTTAATCAGAAATATTTTTGTAATTGTTTGCAAACCCAGCCCCATCGCTCTGGTTTTAAAGTCATCCAACTTTACAGGTCATGTGAGATCGAATATTTTGTACCATTCCAGAGTAGGCTATTTGTTGTTTTTTCTAATGTATATAAAGGTGTTTTATAGTGTGTCACAACAGTGATGTTTGTGTCGCGTGTCTGTTTGCTTGTACTTCCATACTGAGGGAGATAAATCAACCTCATTAATTGTGAAAATAAATCTCTTGGCCTGTGTGCTGCTCTTTTCTACAGCAGCGTCTTCTTCATAGTTGGGAAAGAGTTCACTGCATTGCCTCCAATTCATGTCAGCAGGAACATGTCATCATCATAAAGTTGTGTCAGTTTAATCATCTTAAAGCAGGTGGGTTACAGAGGCTGTGATCTTCCCCTGTTCCCTTTGATAATACATTTCTGTCAGGTGTGTCCTTTGTGTGTCAGAGTTCCAGTTCACTAGATGTCTAATATCCTAAACAAGTGTACTGCAGATGCTCGCTAGTATTTTTAAGCATGTTCCAATTTTAAATAGTTCAATAAAATCCCCAACATCTACCACGCATTATATCTTTAGGAGAAGTCAAACATGATAAATATTTTGGCTGCAAAACATTACAACCGTGTTAAGTGTGCACAATATGTTGTATGTGGTAAATACATTTGTTAAAAGAATACTGATTTTTTTTTTCAGTCAACAAATCCCATGAAATGACTTCAACAATGTTAAATTGTCTCACTGTAGTTTCTTTCATTTCCTTTCAATTAACCCCCAAACTATTTGATCCTACTGAAGAATTACATCTGTAGTTATGGCTATCACATTTAGTTTCATTTTGTAAAAAGGCTATATAATTTCCCCTTCAACAGCTGGGCATTGTAGTTTTTAGCAGACAAGTGTAAAATAGTGCATTTTGGGGAACACTTTCAGACCCAAAATCCAGGTGTGTATGCAATCAATCACGGTTTTGAGTCTTTTCACGGTAATTCTTTGACAGACTTATTTAAAAAAAGGTTGAATAAGTGATTTTTAGAAATTCCAGTCCACCATCATATTTCTCAGAGTCAGCTTTATTTAAGTAGATTCTTGGTGATAATGCAGACATACCCGTCCATACATTTTTAACTTATATAAAAAAAAAAACTAGCAAAGTAGAGCATGACAAAATCAGGAAGATCAAGAGATCAAATTTAAGGCCCTTTCAGAAGCGATCGGGTAGGTCTCCGTGGTACTTTGCTTTGTAAGGATCAGGTTAAAATTGAAAGATTCTGTATACTTCATATAAATGCATCAGTATCCGTCAGAAGCCAGCTATCTTCACTTGAATTAAAAGTCCATAAGTCATAGCACACAAAACAATCTACACGCCCAGCATGGCAAAGGGCAGCAGTCAGTGAGTTACACTTCTTAAAGTAGTTACACACAGCTTCCTCTCTGCTTCAGGTCAGTTAGCTGGCTCGCTGAGTGATACTGAAAGGTGGAGGCTCTGTTCCCGGTTCAATCTGCTTCCTGTGTCTCCTGTGTTTCTGCAGTGGAAGTGGTGAGGTAGGCTCACAGAGCGGACCCTCCTGATCTCACTTTTTGATAACAACCAGCACAGCTGAAGGCACCAGACCTACAGAGACACAAAGGAGAGACACAGAACAAAAAGGTCAGAACCTGGGAGTGTGTGGAGCTGCGGACAGTTTAAGGTCCATGCAGACACTAAAATACAAAAACTATTGTTACATACGAGTCACAAACACTGAGATTAAATTAAAAAAAATGTTTAGGGCTGTGACGAATAGTATATCGCTTTATTAATTGTGTTGGAATTTAATTCTAGATCAACATTAAAATTCTTCAAAAAATGTTTAAACCCTACATCTATTGATTCTCTTTAGCTAACTAGTATGATAAGTATTGTACTATTTGTATAAAAGAAATAGAAAAGAGAGAAATGAGAACAGACATTCAAAAAGGTCCATTCGAATAGTTTACATTTCGTAGAGCCATAAGAGTAAACGCCCGGTGCTCACCCAGTTCCTTGAGGGGCTTCTCCATGTCCAGTTCGGTGTATTCGTTGCGGGGGTACGGGGACAGCAGTGTGAAGTCCTGACCCTCCGGTGTGTTGCCGTTCACCTGCACGTAGACGCGCACGGCCGCCAGCGGCTCCTGGGATTTGAACACGGCCGTGAGGGTGGAGCCGTCCAGCAGGCGTATCTGCAGCGGGAAGAAGCCGAAAAGAACGGGGGGGAGGAAAGAAAACCGGCAATTGAGAAATATTAACAACTCATTACACAACTTTGAATTATTGTCTTGCTGAAGTGTTGTGAGGGAGTGTGTGTGTGTGTCTGTACCTGTATCCTGGACTCGTCATACTCCTTCTTAGTGGGTGGAGGGCCGTGACTGGTGGGGGACGGGGGGGTGGGCTGGGCAGGTTGGGACGATGTCGCCGTGCTCGCGGGGGAAACAACTCCAAACTTAATGGATAGAAAATAAGTTGTTACTGGTTCCAACATCAGTAGCAAATTAAACTAAATGAATGTTACAAGGAAGGAGGTGAACAATGGCTGGGCTTACCTTCTGTGCTCTCTCCTCTCTGTCTCGTGCAATCTTGTCTTTAACCCTTTGCCTGATGGGAAAAAAAGACACGCCCACAGTAACAGGCATTAAATACTTAGAGTAGTTGCAAACGTAGTGGCTGAGTGTTGTCGAGTTAGATCGACTAATTTGATGCTGATTTAACCTAAAAGCATCTCTGTCTGACTGCATTTGAACATGTCACTCATTTCTGGTCTTCGCTCAGTGTTTTTGAATTGGTTCTTTTTTTTTTGTTGCACTCATACATTATAATGAGGAAGAGATAAGACTGCAAATAGTCATTTCCGTATTTCGGAAACTATTTATATTGAAAGAAAAAGAAGGGAGAGTGGACACCTCTAGAGATGTTAAAGTACATTATTATTTTAATTCCTGTTAAAACATAGATTGTGGTCAATGAAAAGTGCTGTTACTACTACCGAGTGTAAAAAGATATAATAATAATAATACTGTGTTGTCATGAATCTCTTACCTCGCCATTTTGTCCTCCATCTTCTCCTTCATGCGCTGATCGCTGAGTTTCTTCATATCATCATCCTGCAGCTTCTGGCGAATATGCTGCAGCTCTTGGCCGTCTTTCCTCCGCTGCTTCTCCCGCTCCAACTCCTCTGCCCGCTCTCGCTCTCGTCTCTCCGCCTGCTTCAGCCGCATCAGCTCCTCTAGCCTAAATAAAAAAACAGACGAAAGATGTTAGCACTTTTATATAATGAGGGTTAAATAAACAGAAAATAAAGTCCTTCTATTTTTCTTAGGCTGCCAAACTCATGACCATAGATTCTATTTGAAGTGATCAAATATAGAATAGCTGTTTGAACTTTTACCTTCTCACTTGCTCGAGTCTCTCCTCCTCTGACAACGGCACTTTTGAAGGGTCATCAACATCGATGCTGCCGTCTCCACCTGCTGTCCCTGCAGACCAAACAAATGGACATGAGAAAGTGAACGAAGATAAAAAGGGATGTGTTGTATTGTGTGGGGTTTCAATGTCAACCATGAATGAAAGCTAAAAGTATAATGCTGCTAACCTACACACCTTACACCACAAAGCAGAAAACCTCCACCACTGAACACTGACAGAGAAAAGAATCAAGTGAAGCTACCATTGAACCTCCTGACTCCTAACTGAACTCATAGATAGTTCATTTTAAATGAACTGGGACAGCCAGGCTTAGTTAGAGTTTAGATGTTGCTTATAGATGGAAAAACATGCTATTGAACAGGGTTGGCTATGAGCAGCATGGATAATATCATATCCTGATATAAATAACTCATTGCTAACTATAATGTTTTTGCCTTTAACCCATGCGTCAACCTGATTCACAAAAGGACACTATATACCTTACATTTACAAATTGAAGGTGTCATTTTATGCATGCCTAGATGGATTTAATGTCTGCTTCTCCCTTACCTTCAGCGGGGTCTGCTATTGACGGCTCGTCTGTGGGGGACTGGGTGACGGCTGCTCCCCCCACCACATTCCCTACAGGCGGCACGAAGGGCTCATCGATGTCTGGGTCGTTCTCATGTACCATTAACCTGAGGAGAAAACAAACAGTAAAGATGAGGGCTGCAAACTTACTTTGTTAAGGAAAAGAGTCCATAGTATGCCGGGGAAAGAGTAGCACAGGCGGGTTTTAGGAGACAGACGTGAGAGTGCGACCTTCGGTGATGATAGAGGACCGTGTCCACGCGTATAGTTCAACACTGATATGTTTCGTGTGTGTGTGTCACTCACCAATCCATGGCTTGTTCTATTCCCTGGTTCCCTGTGCTGGCTACCGCCTTCTCCCTGAAAACAGGAGAGACAGGTTTATTATAATGTCACAGTTTTATTGAAATAAATAGCTACGGATCCCATGGTATGTAGCACATTGTGGCCATACGATAATAACAAAAGATTGGACACGGCGCGCCTACAATACAACACATTTTACATAAAGAACTAAATGAAAAACGCCCTTATTTTTAAATACATTTTGGCTTACCTGATTGCATTAACAACACCTATTTAAAAAAAAAAAAGAATGGACGGTTTGAAATAATACTTTGGTGAACCTTTTTTCTAAACATTTATTTTGATTTCTTTCTTACATTATAAGAAAATATGATAGTTGTATGTCAAGCGATTGGCAATACAAAGGTTGTGACACTCCGGTTTCTATCCAGCCCTTCATATCTTCCATTGGGAATCTGGTGTTGTTTGCTCTTAAGTTACAAATAGCCTGCCTGTATTTGACCTATTGTTTCTTATACAACAGATACTCTTTCCTAACATTCAATCAGTCATGTATTTTTAACAGCAACACCAGGTGGGTATCTACCCAAGTTCCCATAGTCCTTAATATTTAAGGTTGTAATTTTAACATTTAGGGAGTAATTAAGACATTAGATAAAAAAAAATTTTTTTTAAAAGTCCAATCAAATCTATAAAACGTAGCCGGTTTCACTTTCACTTCCTTGAAAGTCGTCTCAAATCTAAGACTTAAATTAGCCAGGATGTATTTTTGGGGTTTGGTATCACTCACGCTCTGTTTCTGTCGAAGCCCATCTCCATCAGACTCTCTAGTGTTGTTAGCTCTGCCATTTTGACCTGAAACACATTGTACAGACAAACACAGTCATCATCTTTCAATTGGACATATTGTTGTTACCCTACTGCGATTTGCTAATAAGAATAATAAAGTAATTCACAATATTTAGCCAAGCCCCTTTTGTGATACCATGAATCGATATCTTAAGTCAACACAACAGCTCATGGCTTTTTGTGTAAAGGAGCTAACTCACATTAACATTACCATGGTACGTTAGTCAGAATATAGCACTATGGAAACAGATATTAACATGTATTCGGCCAGCAGCCTGACACAATACATGTTAACCAGTGATCTGTAGTTGTAAGTATTTAATATCATAAGTATAACTTCTTATTTTTCCTATTAACTATAATACAAATCGTTGTTAGTGCTGAAATTAGCATTAATGTGGCTAACGTTCGAATTGCGAAAGCTAGCTGAGAAGCCTCGCCTGTTAGCTCGATTAGAAATGACCAGGAACTCTTATAAGCTCTCCGTCACTTTAACTATTAATGTGTGTTTGTATTTACACGTAAAGCCACACATATATGTTATTGTATATCGTACAGAGTTAATATTAGCTAATATATTCATGGAGACAACGTTAGTTAGCTACTCACACATCAAGTCAACACCGCTTCAACTGTAGGGGAGCCCGCATAGGTCAAACAGCACCGAAGGAGAAAAGCGTTTTTTTTGTTGCGATCATTCTTAACGGACAATTTGAGCATTTTTCAATTTATTAAATAATCAGTTAGTTAGAAGAAGTACCCAGTAGTTTTACTTAATCACCAGAACAAAATTGTATCCAATATTTTTATGGAGTACAACATTATCAACATCAGAATATATTTAACTGCCATTCGCCAACAGAACAAATACGAATTAATCAAAACTGCTCACTTCAGAATAGTATTATATCCTTATTGAACTATACTTATGAAACGTTTATGTGTTCATTACTTTAATCTAGCTTCTCAGCTAACAAAAGGGGATCAATTTTGATTTACCATGTTTACTTCCTGGTTTTGGATTGCAATTGAAATAATAATAACGTTTGTATTTTCCATAACAATACATCATAATTTATTAATATTAATTGATCACATTTTGTATTATAAAACTGAATTCACAAATGTTTTTGTCTCATATGGTTTGGGCCAAAACACATTTTTAATCTTTCTGCTTTCTTTCCCCAGAGACAAAACTAAACATGATGAAGCAGCATTCAGTTTTTATTTATCATAAGGAACATTGTCCGCTGCCAATCTCTGTTCTTTTAAATCAAGGCCGAACAGTTCTCTGTTTGCCTCAGCCCTTTACTAAATCAATAGTACTTAGTTTCTTCTTCTTGCACTTACTGCACATTCACTGCTTATTAATGTATTTTAGCCTTTTTAGCTTTGATCTCTTAAATTACTGTTTTCAATGTTATCTAAATGTGTCTTTGTGGTGTGTTATATACAAAGACTTGTCTATGCTTCTTGAGTTTAAGAGCTGTGTTTTATTTCCTCTCCATTGAGTTATTAGCATTTAATTATAATTGAATCTGTCTTCAATTAGTTGGATGTGTAGTTTTTGTAAAATGTGACCGCAGAGGCAGGAAACAGTGACAAAGTGCATAGAAAGGCCTATGAGTGAGAAGGCAGATTTGATATGCTGCCTATAGATGGCTTTACTTATTGGCTGCTCTCCATCTTGAATGATTTTATCAGTGGGTGTTCAAACAAAACGCAATTTGCTGACTTTTACGAGAAGGTTTGGTCTGTTACATATTTACAGTGAGTTTAATGATTAATTTTTCTCTCCCCCAAGCAGTCTTAAGCCGCTCTCATTCAGGAGTCTGCCATACTCAGGGACCGACTTCTGCCTCAGCCTGCTCACTTCTGTCTCTTCTCTTCACCCACTACCTGTTTTTACCCTATACCGTTTCTGTCTTGCTTTTCCTCACACTTTCACCTGATGTTTTTCATTCTTATTTCCCTTTTTCTGACTTCCTATGTAGAATTAATGACTGAAATGAGCCTTACTTGGTGAGTATGAACCTTTTGTGTACATTTAAATGTGGCTAATCAACTGAGAATTAGAAATCAAAGAAACCTTTCAATTTATTCACTTTACATTTTATTGATGGGGCATACCTATACCACAGTTGTAATGTGTGTTTACAGCAAGAAAATTGTGTAATTTTGTATTGAATATTATCCGTGCATCCACTCCTGAAACCTAAGCATTACTTTCTTCTGCTTAGTAACATTTCAATCACAGATCATCCTTTAAGCAACATTTCTGTCTCATTTGAAGGGAAGTAAGTGGTTATAAAGACAGATGCAAAATGGTTATTACGGGAATTTTATGAATGAGTGAAAAATTGATGAAGCTGCAAATGCTTTCCTGATTTATTAGTTGCCAGGCAACGTGCATAGTGGGTTTAATTGATATATATATATATATTCATAAACAATTATAACTGTTTTCCACAGGAATCCTAAAATGGATATAATATGATCTGTTCAGGATATAGGAGGTTATCTCGGTAGATTTTACCTGAAATATACTCCTGTCTAAAGAGTACCAGTGAAGGTGTCTATTTTAGTGTTGAGGTCAACCATGCATCTGAAAAGTATTTCTTAAAAATGTTATATTTATTCTCAAATATGATTTTCTGTCACAAAACTGACCAGATGATACGTTTTTTGCAGACTTAATCATTAACACATTCATTCTTATTTTAGTGCTGAGATTCACAATACTGATTCTCCACTTTCACAGTGTAATTATATGGTAAAAATATATCTGGGTGGGCAAAGTCCAAGGAGACAACAGGGGTGAAGGTCTCTTCAGTCTACCCTTAAATTGCTTTATGGCCATGTTTTTCAAGGAAGCAGAGGTTTAAGGGTCAAAGCTCAGCCTGGATAAAGTAGGGGGAATGATGGGATGGGATGAGGTTTACAGAGGTAGAAGATGCACACTCATTTTTATTACTTATGTTAGAAGCCATATCAAAGCCTGTGTGTAAAATATTAATTTTGATGGTCTAAAGGCCAAGATATATTTGCTGGAAAAGCACTTCCTCCTGACTCCTATCTCACTTTCATTGAGTGACTGACCCTGATTTTATTGGTGTCATAAGGGTAACATGTTTCAAAGAAGCAGTAAAACCAAAGATCAGAAGATGTAAGACTATGTTGGATTATATTTTACAAACCTTTTTATTAGGTGTGGGTGAAGTTATCACAAGGGCTCAGATAAAAATATGCAATAAAATGATTAGAATTCATAGTCGTTGGAGCCCAACCAAAAGAGGGCAGCATTATTTCACATGTCAAACTTTATCACGGAGGAGCCATGGAGTTCAAATTTGTAGTATTGTCAAGTTCTTAACTTTGAAACGTTATTGGGATCTGGCAGTTTTAAGGTATTGGGACAATTATACTCTATAACACACACACAACAAAGAGGGGCATGTTCAATAGTTGTTTTTGTTGTTGGGGAGTGGCTTTTTATAAGATAAGCTGAACATCGAACAAACAATTAACATTTAAAACACATTTAAAAAACATACATGAAATGAGAACAAACACTAATAAAACTTAAATTGACAAGAACAATATAATCAATAAATTACAATACATTTTAAATGTTCCATACATTTTTCTTTTTTTACAAAACAGAACATTTCCTGACCTAGGACCTCGAAAGAAAGAATGAGACGTTTACAAAAGCAGGGCATTTGCAGCAGAGCAAGGTCAGTTACTGTGCACATAAAGATAACAAAAGCATTTTCAGTGATACTTTGTTATAATAACACCGTTTTGTTATAACAACCCATCCCACTAGGAACAGTGAAACACAAGTCCATCTTTGTCTAAAAGGGTCCATTTCACTTGAGTCACAGTCATTTGTTCCATCATGTAAACCTGTATTAGTGTTTGGACCCACTGAGGTAGGTTGGTGGTTCAATGTATATTTTAATTGTCAAATGAACATAATCACATAAAGGAAAATGTTTTTGTTTTTTTAAATCACACCCTATGATATTTCCAAAGACTTGGTGTTACTACCACCTTTTTTCTCATTTTTCTAGAGGAAACTATACAACCAACAATGTCACGAAATAAATACCACCTCCATGTTCTCATGCTCCGTCAGCTGTGCCTTGTCTGTGGGTCTCACCAGCTGTAACAGCATCTCCATATGGAAAAACTCTGGCTTCCAGTGGAGCTGCTGTTATCTGTGGTGGGACACCTCTTGTCATCGAAAAAAAAGAAGGTGCTGGGACTCGCTTACATATCGGACTCTCTGTAGCTTACACATCTGACTTTCAAAGTCAAAATGGTTTGTGTGCAGGAACACCTTATGTTTGCTGTTTTTGAATGATGTGCCACTTTGATGCTTTTTTCTGTACAGGTTGCTCTTTACAATAAAGCTGATGCCTTACATCCTGTTAAACTGTCTTTCTTTTCTGTTTCTGTGTGCCGTTTGAAAAGATAAAAACATGTGATTATCATGTGTTATCATTGTATAAATACGTTTTGTGTGTGTGTGTTTGTGAAATTGATATATGAGTAAAAATACATAAACACACAAGGCACTATATCTATATATCGTAAACATTTCACTCTATTAGCTGCAAAGAACAGCTCAAATTGTGGTGTTAGAAAGTCGAGCAGAAACTAGTAAGGTTCAAAATACACATCCCTCAATCCAACAAATCCATTATATTAACTGAAGTGAAAGCAAAACAGAAACAAGTTGTGCCACATGTGTTTTCTATCAGAAATGACCACGTGAAACCAAAACCACATTTGAATATTTAAAAATGTTTTCTTGTTGAAGGATAAAAAGAGGTACTGAATACAATTCACTGACATGAATAGGCTGAAGGTCAAGCCATAACATCACAGACATAAAAAAAACAAAAACATTTTGACATTTATTTAAGGGTAGATATTTTTTTGGGAGAGGATGTTTGGGTTTAAACAACTTCGTTAGTTAATAATGATTGATATTATTATAATAGAGCGTTAATTCACGTGTATTATTGGATTGATACCACAAAAACAACTAAAGGTTGAAAGAATTTAGTGTTAAAAATACACAACTATAGAAAAATACACACAATATTACAATAAAAACAGCACTTTTTTAAAAAGTGTGTGGCTTTATTATTGTACGTTTTATTCTTGCAAATTATTTACTTGTCTTTTATGTGAAGACACTTGAGCCCAATGTTATTGTAAAAGGTGATATACAAATAAAGTTGAGTATGAGTTCAGTATCACTGTGGCATTGATATGAGGAATATTGCAAACCCAAACAATCCTGATAAATGGTGTTATCACAAGTTTGAGGCAAGGCCCATTCATATTATAAAGTGTGTCAGATACTGAACTAGGTGTAACCGATGAGGCTTTTATTGTGAAAGGTGTGCATTTCCGGTATCCTTGTGCCAGCCTTCTTTGGGGGTTCAATAACCCAGCAACTGACAGCCGGTTGCTAAGCGAGTTAGCTAACCGCTAAGAGCAGCTGTGTCGTTTACACCGCCACAGTTCTGTTGTATCAGACCACATATAGCTTAATATAGCTAATTTACTAAGTATTTGTGGCTAGTGTAATTGGCTATCCTGAATTAGCCAACGTCAGCTGAAGGAGGCAGTCCTCGCAGTGCGTGGCTAGCT